CTAAAAGACACATTATTGAAAAATTTGGTAAAATCACTGTAGCATGGAAAACTGTTCACTGTAAAATTTTGGGAAAATTGACTATTTGATTATTTGGTCTATAATTATTGTAACGTGGTTAGAACTGATGTATATATTCATGATATTGATTATAAAATGGTTTCTTGTTATTTGGAATGAAGCATTGAGTTTTGTAGCATAATGAGTTATAGAATTGTCTTATAGTTTGTTGTTCTGTTGTGAATCTTTTGGCTATTTGAAATTGATTTTTTCTTCTTGGTTATATGTTGTGTGGTTTTGTTATTATCTTCTAGTTATATCTCCATTATTAGAAGTTTTTGGAGACTGGCAAGTGTTGTTTGAGGACGAATGTTGTCCAAGTGGGGGAGATTGTAAGACCCTGAAAATGATTTTTGTGAACTAGAGCCTAACATATAGGTATTTATGGTATAAGGTACTAAATAGGTCAATTATATGTTATAGAGGCAGAGTCTAGGTGCATTGGAAGTCAAACGTTAAGGGACGACAAAGACATTCGACGACTTAGTCACCTATGTGCCATATATGTTGTTCTATGTGTGTATGTGCGATTCATCATGTTTTAAGGTCCTTAAATTAGTTATTAAATAATTCATAGGGATTATGTCAAGTTTCGTGGAGTTTGGCGGTCAAACGTCCATGACGTTCGAAAGATGTGCCTTGAAATTACCTTATGCGACCTTATGCGTCTAGGGATCTTCCGTCGAGTTTTATGTGTTCATTTTGGGTGAAATTTATTTGACAGGTGCTAAAATAATAGGATATCATGTTTAGGTTGGAAATTTCCATGCAAATATCCAAGGTCAAATCAAGGGTCCTTGACGAAGGAGCCATGTTGGTGGCCAAAACTGCCAAAAAGCAGTCCACCTATGGAGGGCAATCGAAGGACAGTGGCCTGTTCGACTCTCCGTAGGTGGTGAGTGTCATTGTAGAATTATCCTAGGAAGACAATCTTCCATTTTCCAGGATCTGACCTAATCGAAGGTGGACAAAACGGTTTGTAAGTTGACTGACGCCCCGTCGATGGGTCAGTCGTTTGTGAGCCTGTGCCTGCGTGTAGCTCATTGTTAAGTCAAAGGGTGATACTGTAGTTTCATCCCACTTCTAAATGGATGTATTGGAGGTTTATTAAGGGTATTTTGGGTATTTTAAACAAGTATATAAGTGTTTATTAATTAGAATATTTTATTCTTCTAAATCAAAGCGCTAAAATTACTTAAGAACGCTGAAAGACATCATTGAATTCCAAAATCAAGGAAAAGCTTTGTGTGAAGTTTTGAGTCTAAATTCTTCATCATAGTGAAAAATAAACATCATTGAGGTATGGACATTGATCCTTGAAACTCTCTTCATCAAGGAGCCCCAATTCTCAAGATGTTTTTAAAGTTCCTAAATTTGAATTAATTAATTTCATGATTCTACCATGGGTTCTTGGATAAATATTTTCTACACATTGAATAAGATTTAATTGATATTGTATTGATTATTTTAACTTAAATTACCTATGAATCCATGAATTGGATGAATCCTAGAATTTGAATATGTTTTGGGTTACTTGATATTGATCTAATTTTGATGAATTCTTATATAGTTTAATGTGGGATATTCATTGATGTAATAATTGTAGTAAATTGATATCTAGGTTGTATTATATTAATGAATTTATATTGATTTAATCTAGTTCATTGGTTATTGTAGTTTTTATGTTGAATTGTTGGTTATGATTTTTTGTAAGGATCTTGTGATATAAAATTGAGTAAATTGACTTTGGGTTAAAGCATTGAGGATAATGTGGGGTATTATTCCCTATTTACTTTAATTTTATGTTATTTATACTTCAATTCTGTTGTTATCGGTATGGTCCACTTGTGGTGGCGGCATTATGTGTTTTACTTACAATTGATGTTGCCTTGTCGGCGTTACTTTATACAGTATGATGATCCTGTCCTTATTATCAACTAGTTGAAGTAAGATGATTATTTTTATAGTTTGATTGTGTGAATCGTTACAATATCTATCTACATGTGGAGTCATGTATGTATTGTTCTATTCATGTTGTCTTAGGTTGCCATGTTAGATTGCCTTTGAAATTATGTGTATAATGATAGGGTTGAGTCTTGGTTATTTCGACATGACTAAAATGATTCTATATTGGTTACAATGATAATGTTATTATAGTATATAGCATGATTTGAAGATGTTAGGTTCGTTTCTAAGTGCTTCTAGAATTACTTGCATGAAGAGTTAAAGGTGAAGTATGTGGTGTCTTCTCTTTGTTTACTTGTGTCCTTTGCTTGATGTATATATGATTATCAATATGTTATGTATTGATTTAGGGTGTTAGAACTCTTAGTGTTGAATATATGAATGACATATGACCTTAATAAACTTAAGAGAGTCTTTCATGTGAAAACCTTTACTTAGTGGTAGTTGAGATTTTTAAAGTTGTAGGCCGTAATGGTATCCTTCAAAGTAAAAGAATGACAGACTTAAGGTTAATTGGCAGGAATGAAATCATATTAATCCTTACGAAAGTCATCATGAACTTTTTGTCTCCATTGTGAGGTAGCCCTAGTGGACCTTCTTTGGTAGGGTAAATATAATTGAGTGATGAACTTGTAATGGAACCTTTTATGTGAACCAAATATGTGAATTACTCAATGAGAAAGAGGACTAGAACCGAGTGAGTATTGTATGGGGAAGTTGTTCTACTTAAAGAGTGAGACCAGATTACAAAGTCTTCCCTTCATATTCCTTAACCGTGTGCCTACATGGGATGTATCTAAGTTCTATCCTTGGCAAGTAGAACAACCTCATATGAGTAGGTATAGAGCTCCGGATTCCATGTCTTGATATCATGGTCTATGTCGGCTATTGCATATTCTTATCATATGGAATACCTATTAACATTAGAGAAGCTTATGAGGTTTACGTGGTGGTATAGGATGCTATCTAGACATTGGACAATATGTTGTGACGATGTTACTTGAAGTTCCTAGGTCTTCTTTAAGGTTATTACTCCAATGACCTTTATGTGATGTATGAGTCTAAATTAACTACAGAACTAATGTCTTAGGTTATGAAGTATGTAAATGAATAAGTACCTAATCTAAAGTGACTTAAGGATTCCTTAGCTAAAGTGTGAAGAGGGCTTAAGAGATGATCTCTTTTTATCTCATCTTTGGAAGTCTTGAAGATTATTCTAGTTAGGGAAGCAGTTACTATGGACTCTATCTTCTTGATTTACTTAAGTAGGTCTTTTAATAGTCTTTGGAACGAGAATGTCATATAATCTATGTGTTGTTGTGTTAAGTAAGAATGATTCTATTATAGGGAGTCTATAGGATCTCTCAAGTGTGTGTAAGGGATTGTATGGGCGGTCTCTTCACAACATATTCAAGGGAGACTTAGAGTCCCCTTTGATAGAATAATCTTACCTTAATGTTTATGATGCTTCGTAAGTGTATATTTGACTCATTATATGTAATCTCAAAGGTCTTTTAGGAACATCTAGAGAGGGTGTATGGGCAGTCTCTTTTTGTGTGACTTATGTGAATCGTAGGGTAGGTATAAGTGAGAAGATTACATGCTAAAGGGTTTCTAAAGTTAACAATAAGTAACTTCATTGTACAGTGAAATAATTCACTATAATAGTGAATGAGGTTACTTTAAAGTGACCTCTAAAATTATTATTTTTTCTTTGAATAATATCTTATGTGTTTCTAAGTTGTTAAATGGTGTTCTTATGATTATAATATGATTTCTAAAACAAAAGATGCATTGTTTCAGTAAATGTCCATTTTCATGATTTTATGCCTAATTACATACTTAATACAACTGGTTGTACTAACTCATACTTTTATCTATCAATATAGTTCTTGGTAGGTGAAGAGATTTTGGGAAGTGAAGACTTGAACCGTAGCATCGTTCAGGGGAAGTTGAAGTATGTCCTCATTTGACTCGAGGGCATATATGTCTTTTATGTTTTCAATTTGAAGTATTGTAATAAATTAAGTATTTTATATTCATATTTTGATGTATGGGCCGCATCCCAAGTATACTTGTGTCTTAAGATGATGAGATTGAGACTTATTATTTCCTATTGCTTTATATGAAAGAGATGTTTAAAGACTATGTTATGTTTTCTGAATAGTTTTAATTCCACACTACTTTTCACTATGTTTATGCAATGAATAATATGAAAGGTCTTATTTAGGACCTCCGAGAGGTCAAGTACGCTGATTACAATATGAGATTGTACCCTAAATTCTAGGGGTGGTCTTGGGATGTGACTAATGATGCCTCACGAAACCATGTCTATGTAGAGTCTTATTTTTAATTGTGAAGCGTGCCACTCTTATGATTGAGAGGCTATGTGATGTTTAGGAAATTTTCGCTTTACTTGGTATTCTTAAGTCATGCCTCAAGATTTTTAACTCTGTATGTCCTGTTCTTATAATCATTTTCTTGTGGATATATCCTATGACTACTAGAAGGGTAGGAACAAGAAGGGTAGGAACAAGAAGGGTTGAAGAGGAGATTGCCAATGTGGGAGTTCCTAGACAAAACCACGAAGCTCCTCCTCAAGCACAAGCTCTTCTAGGTTTACAAGTCCGGTCAATCCTCAGGTCATGTAGGATGGAGATATAAGGGAGGCTTTCATAAACTTAACTCAATTCGTGGCTACTAAATCTTAAGCTATCAAGACCCAAGCAAATCAAGAAGTTTCACCCCGTGGGAGTAGAAAAGCTAGTACCATGGCTTAACGTTTAAGGTACTTCACTAGGATGAACACTCCAATGTATTTTGGGTCTAAGATAAATAAAGATCCTCAAGACTTTCAAGATGAGTTTTATAGGATCTTGTAATCTATGGAAATAAGTTCAAATGAGAAGGCCGAGCTAGCCACTTATAAACTCAAACATGTGGCTTAATCTTGGTACACTCTATGGAAGAAAAATATGGCTCTGAGTGATGGTCCCATAAGTAGTGAAGTGTTTACGAGGGAATTTCTTGATAAGTTCTTCCCATGGGATAAAAGAGTGGTAAAAGTTAATGAGTTTATCAAACTTCATGAAGGAGGTATGAATGTTCAAGAATATTCTTTGAAATTCACTAAGTTGTCTAAATATGCCTCTTCTTTGGTGAATAATTCAAGGGATGAAATGAACCACTTTGCGACAGGTGTTCCCGGTGATCTTGTGGAAGAGTTTCGTGCATCAATGCTTTACAATAACATGGATTTATCTCGTTTAATGGTGCATTATCAACAAGTTGAAGAGAGTAGACTTAAGAGGAAGAATAGGGAGATCAAGAGGCCAAGTCTCTTTGAAGGAGGTATTTCTAAGGGTATGTTTGATATCCAAGACAAACCAAAATTTAAGAAAAGATTCTCCAACCATGCTCCTCATAGTTTTCCAAAGGCTAGAAAGGATAGGGTTTATAAACCTAGGCATCAAGGGGAAAAAAGTGGTGATTCACAAAATGAGAAACCAAATTGTGCCTAATGTTGTAAGAAATATATGGATAAATCTCTAGTGGGTACGGATAATTATTATGGTTGTGGAAAGCGTGGTCACATGGTGAGAGATTGTCCCATGTCCAAGACTCAAGGAATGGATATTAATAAAGCACAAGCAAGTGGTCTTAATTATGATTCTCTTGAAAAGAACCACTTTTATGCTCTCCAATCTAGGGATGATCAAGAGGATTCTCTCGATGTTGTTACAGGTATGTTTCATGTATTTTTAATTAATGTATATGATTTGCTAGATCCTGATGACACTTTATTTTTTGTAATTCTTTAATTTCAATGATTTTTGATGTGATCTCCGATGTCTGAGTCGAACCTTTTTCGGTTTCTACCCCAGTGGGTGACTCCGTTGTTTCTAAAAGAGTATATAGGAGTTGTCACATATTATTGTCCAATAGAGTCACATTAATTTATTTTATAGAACTTGACATGTTGGACTTTGATGGTATATTGGGAATGGATTGGTTATATGCTTGTTTTGCGTTGATTAATTGTAGGACAAGTGTAGTTAAATTCAAATTTCCTGATGAACCATTTTTAAAAAGGAAGGGGGAAACTCATTCCCTAGAGGTTAAATTATTTCATGTATAAAAACTTGTAAGATAACTTCTATGTGATGTATCTATCATAATGTAAGAGTCTAGAAACTTGGGTCCCGGGCTCTTCATTTTAAAGTTTTTCCCGATTACTTACCCAAAATTCCTCACAGATGGGAAATATATTTCGGCATAGATTTGATGCGGGATACTTAACCCATATCAATTCCTCCATAGTAGATGGCTTCGGCCGAGTTGAAAGAGCTAATATCTTACCTAAAGGATTTTCTAGACAAAGGTTTTATACAACAAAACATATCTCCATAGGTCTCTCCGATATTATTTGTGAAAAAGAAAGATGGGTCTCATAGATGGTGTACTGACTATCGATAACTAACCAAGGTCATTGTAAAGAATAAGTATCCTCTTCCTAGAATTGATGATTTGTTTTACAAATTTATTTTACCAGATCCAATGGGCGAGTTACTATTCAAAGACTTATTCAAGGTCGAGGTATCACCAACATAGACTTAAAGGATTTGACATTCGTAAAATGACTTTCTGAACAAGATATGGTCATTATGAGCTCTTAGTTATGTCCTTTGGTTTAACTAATGACTCAGCGGCTTTTATGGACCTTATGAATAAAATGTTCCAGAATTATATTGATTCATTTGTAATGTTCTATAATGATGATTTGTTTGTATATTCCAAAAGTGAGGATGAACATGTGGGTCATTTAACGATAGTATTAGAAGTCCTCACCGAGTAACAACTCTTTGCTAAATATAGTAAGGGCAAATTTTGTCTAAGATCGGTGTATTTTATTGGTCACATTGTATCTAGTGTGGGTATTGAAGTTTATCCGAAAAATACGGTGGTGGTTAGGAATTGGTCTAGATCTCTAACTCCCACCGATATTCAAAGTTTCTTGGGTTTAGCTGGGTATTATATGAGGTTTGCTGAAGGATTTTGATGTATAGATTCTCCATTGAATACCCTAACCCAAAAGAAAGTAAAGTTTGTGTAACGACCCAGGAGAAACCCTAGACGTCACACAACGTATTCGACCTCTTAGAGGTGTTATAAAAGCCTTTAGCATACCTCATTGCATTGTCATAAAAACATTAGAAAATTTAAAACTTTTTCATAACATAGAACAAGACCAAAAGTCATTTCATCGAAAACCTTTATAAAATATAATGTAAGTACTAAATATAAATATAGACATCATACAACACGACTACAACACATTAGGAACACGACCCTCATAATACAAAATCAACTACGATCTAGTACATGAACTTAAAGAAATTTTTTGACATAAAGGTCCTTGAATCTTAAAGGATACACCGGAACATGGGAATAGGAATCCAAGCATTTCATTCTTGGGAAGGTCCAAAATCAACCACCACCTACACTTTGTGTAAAAAGATGAACATGAATGGTGTTAGTACAAGAATGCACTATGTATGATAATTATGTAAAAATATGTTTTGAAAGAGAAACTCGGTTAGAAACTATGCATCATGCCTTTTTTGAAAAATTTCATGAATATTGATACAATAGGCACAACATGGACCACATACATCATCATACACGTGGAACCACTCATAATAATACATAACGCCATTTATCACATTCACGGAACATTCAAAATATAAAATGCACTACATTCCTTTTTATATTAACTCTTTTTGTCAATCAACCCTCAATAGATACTTAGTGTAATGTATTGCCTTAAGGTTACCAAAGGTGAACTTTCATATTGTCTTCATCCATCCAACCACATATTGTAAGACCCCAAAAAAATCTTAGGTGAAGCTAGATCCAAACATGGCTTTTGTAATGGTATGAGGTCCTAAAATGGTCAATAATGTGTTCTATAGGCATTGTATAAGAGTTTAAGTACATTGGGAGACAAAAATCAAGGGAAGATCAAGATTCAATGACTAAGAGACCTATATGCCTTATATGTGTTTTTATAAGTTTATGTGATATTAATGAGGTTATAAGGTTCTTAAATAAGTTATTATAGTGTATTTATGAAGTGTGTCAAGTTTCGTGAAGTTTGGAGGTCAAATGTGCAAGAACATCCATGACATTCGAAAGGTTTACCTTCAACTGACCTTGCGTGTCTATGTATGTTTCGTAAGGTTTTATGTGTTTGTTTTGGATGAAACTCATGTGGTAGGACCTAAACTTGTATATACTCATATTTGGGTTGTAAAAGTTCTTGTACGACCCCACATAGGACTCAAAAGGGGTCCCAAAAGAGGACCCCAACTTCGAGCTCAACACTGTCAGGTAGTGGCAGTCGACTAATCCAAACGATGGCCAGTCAACCAGGAGACGGCATGTCGATGAGTATTTTAGATAGATACGCTTGGAATTCATGTTGAAGAGTTGGAGGTGCAACCCACGAGACCACATCGATAGGGCGTGGGTGAGACCATGGACCTTCGATGTGGGCATCGATGGTGCAACCTGTTTTTCTGCCATTTTTCGGTTAAGTTGAAGGATGAAGTTGTAAATTCACCCCAAGTCATATAAAGTGTGAGGAATTTTTTTTGTGTTTATGGGTGTTTTATGATTATATAAGTTATTAAACTCTTATTTTAACCCTAACGCCTAAATGAAAACATACTGCCTCCAAAAGTTCCTCCAAAAACCACCATTAGAGTTCAAGGTGAAGATGCAGCTTGAAGATGGTTCTTCAATGGAGTTTATTCTTCTGTTATAATTGTATTATTCAAATAATGTATGGGAGTTTTTCATCTAAGGATTGCTATAACCTTAGAGCCAATTTCAAAGATGATTTTCAAAGATTTCAAAAAGATAAAAAGTCTAATTTCTACTCTAAATCTTCGGTTCTTGCATAAATGGTTTTCAAACATTAACATATGATGTTATTCCTGTTTAATTGTTGTTTTCCAATGAAATTTTCCATGAACTCTTGATCTTCACAAATCTCTAAATTTGACTAAAATATGGGTTATGTGATCATGCTTTGAGATTCATGAATTCAAGTGTAGATCGTTATGGGCTTTTGATTCATGTATAGATTATGGATAATTGGTTTATAGGATGTTTCAATTTGATCAATTGAAAATTGTACATTCTTAGATATATTGAATATTAGGCTTATTGAATTGATATTTACTTAAATTTATGAATTCTAATGTAGTTTCATATAGGGTTTACATTGATGTAATGATTATACTAAATTTATATGTAGGTTGCATTAGATTGCTGAATATTTAGTAATTTGACCTAGTTTCATGCATATTTTTATAATTATGTTGATTTTGTATGGCCATGGGTAAGGGCCTTGTGATGATAAATTGGATGATTTAGCTTTGAAATTGAAGTTCAACGATGTAGTAGGGGTATTCTGCCCCGATTCCTTTTATTTTACGTTGATTAGAATTTAATTATGTTGTGATTGGTATGATCCACTTATAGTGGCGGTGCTATGTGCATTGATATGGCCTAGTCGGTGTTACTTTATGCAATATAATGATCATGGACTTATCGGCACTACTTGAAGTATTATGATGATTTTGTAGTTGATTTATGTAAATTATGAGCATATATATATCTATATATAAATAAATGTGAAAGTATGTGTTCTTTTTATGTATGTTAGGAAATCATGTAGACTATGACTATGCGCTTGTATGTGTAGTCTTAAAGTGGATGCATAGTCGTTCCTACTTGACTGCGTGAGCCTATAAAAGTTATATTGTTTAAGATATGGTAGTGTGTGTGATGATTTAAAGATTATAATAGTTATTTCTAAGTGACCTAAGAATGACATGTAATATGTGTTCAAGTGAAGTATGTGGTGTCCTATCTTGGTTGACTTGTGTCCTTTACTTGATGATTGCATGAATATGAATATGTTATGTCTTGACTTAGGATGCTAATGACATGACCGGAGTCTATACCCCAAACGATACCGGCGTCGTTCACCTCTCAAAGGTCATAGACAAGCATACATACATCATCGTTACTTCATCTAGGTTAATTTTAGCGGAAAATTTGAACTTTTTGATACTTAATATTCATATAAGACATTCTACTTAAATTCATAAAATTTCACAATCAACCATCTAATATTAAGATCATCAAATGAAAGAAATAGTTTAATACTGCATTAAGTGTATACTTGCAATAGTGGCTCCAACACAATGTCTGAAATAAAATGAGAAAGAAACTCTAGAGGAACATAATACATAACTCAAACATATATACAAGCTACAATATAATGGGAAAGTGTCCTCTAAAGCATGAGGGCCTACCAAGTCCGGATGATTGCTCCACGTCCGGATAGATGCAACGTTGTATCTTAAGATCTAGCGTCCGCATGCCTGCACCTTAAAGTATAGAGTTGTATGGGATTATTACACATTTTTACTATGTATGGATATATGCA